CATATAGCCACACAAAAACATGCACATGAACGGCCATAGCAGAATCATTCATAACAGCTAGGACATGGGAATAATCCCAATGTCTATCTGCTGGTAAGCAGACAAACAAATGCAGTATACCGTATAGTAGAATACTATTCAGTATTAAAAGTGAGCAAAAGACTAATACTTGCAGCAACACAGATGCACCTCTGGATAAATAAAAGAAGCCAGATGAAAAGACCACATATTATATGATTCTATTTATATGAAATGTCCAGAAAAAAGTAAATTCACAGAGACGTACTGGAGATTAGCAGGTTGCCTGAAGCTACAGATGGGAATGCAGATTGCATTCAAATAACCACAAAGGGATCTTCTGGGGGGCAAACAGAAATTTCTAAAACTGGATTGTAGTGATGATTGCCCACATTTTTTTTTTCATTTAGCATTTTATTTTTTATTTATTTATTTTTTTACAAATAGTTTATTGTCAAATTAGTTTCCACATAACACCCAGTGCTCATCCCCACAAGTGTCCTCCTCCATGCCCATCTCCCCCCTCCCCCCCACATCCATCAGTCCTCAGTTTTTGTCAGCATTCAAGAGTCTCTCTTGGTTTGCCTCTCTCCATTTCCCCCACCATTTCCCCCCTTCTTCTCCCCCTTGTTCCTCAGTTAAGTTCCTCCTAATCCTCCTATATGTGCAAACATAGATATTTGTCCTTCTCTGCCTGACTTATTTCGCTCAGCATAACACCCTCAAGGTCCATCCATGTTGCTACCCATGGCCAGATTTCATTCTTTCTCATTGCCATGTAGTATTCTATGGTATAGATAAATCACATCTTCTTGGTCCATTCGTCCGTTGATGGACACTTAGGCTCTTCTCATGTTTTAGCTGTTGTTGAGAGTGCTGCTATGAACATTGGGGTACATGTGCTCCTATGCCTCAGCATTTCTGTATCCCTTGGGTAAATTCCTAGCAGGATTGCACACATTTTAAAATTTAGTAAAAATCACTGAACTGTACATTAAAACGGATGAATTTTTTTTTTAAGTTTTTTTTTTATTTATTTCTAGGAGAGAGAGAGAGAGAGAGAGACAGCGGGAGCAGGGGAGAGTCAGAGAGAGAGGGAGTCACAGGCTGAAACAGGCTCCAGGCTCCGAGCTGGCAGTCAGCACAGAGCCCGATGCGGGGCTCGAACACACGAACCGCGAGATCATGACCTAAGCGAAAGTCGGACGCTTAACCGACTAAGCCACCCAGGCGCCCCTAAAACGGATGAATTTTGATATAGTTAAAATAAGACCTGTGTTCAAATGCTGGCCCTGCCACTTACTATCCATGTGACCGAGAGTAAGTGTATAGTCCTATTACCTCTGTGAGTCTCCATTTCTGTAAAATGGGGACTTGACCGAGGATTGTTGGGAGATCAACGAGATAATGCATGATGTACCCTCAACACAGGGCCTGACAGGTGTCTGAGGAGCTGTTACGGATTCTCCAGCACCTTTTGCTTTTAGGGAAATCACTTCCACTCAAGTCCATCCCAAGTCCAAGGTCCAATCTCACTTTCTATTTAAGTTGTTGGTTCTCAGATCCCTCTGGGAATATGTCGATCTCTGCCTTGTCCAAGTCCCTGGTACAAGAATTACTCAGAATATTTCTGGGCCACAAATAAAAGTATGTCAACTTCACTTACTACACAGCTCCATAAATTGAAGCTTTTCCAGAATGTTATACTGACCTGAAAGAACCCCTGACCGAATACAGGCATCTCTTCCTCACCTTTTATTTCACTTTTTTTTAAGTGGAAAAAAAAAAAAGAATCTTGGCTTAGCAAGTCTGGGCCGCCAGGAGCTGACAGATACCCTAAGCAAGTGGCAGGAAACATCCCAGCCTCTGCAATGAACCTTCGGGGAAGGAACAGCCACTGAGAATGTGATTCACTTTGATGACAGCTTCCTGATGAGGGCTCGAACCAGCTAGAGGGTTGGTCAATTTACGACTTCACAGAAGACTCAATAAAAGTCATAAATAAAAGGGCACGTGGGTGTAAGTGTACCGCACAAAGTCAGGAGGTCCCAGACAAGAGAACACAAGGCCAGTAACTCTGATTCGGCTCGAGGTTTATCACCGACGCAGTGAAAGGTACAGACCCCGTATGCCAGCCATGCTTGTCGCCGGATGGAAACAGATTGTGCCCAAGGACTAGCGGAGCCATTTCTCAGATTCCCTGGGCAGGGAGGTGAGGAAAGGCTGCCTTCCCTGATAAATCCTGGTGCTTCCAAGCTTGACCTTGTATAAGGATTCTTCTGGGTCTCGCCTCCCCAGACTGCCTGACTGTCCCCCATTCAACTTGAAACCAAATGCTTTCTGTTCACATACAATACAAAACAGCCTCAGAACAGGCCACCTGTTGTATTTGCATTCATTCATCTAATACTATCATTACTGATGTCAATAAAATTGATTCTGAGCTGACTCCCCCTCCTGAAATAGTATGCATGTCAAGCCACTGCTATGATGGTGAGGGCCACAGGAGATAGAATGAGAAATAAATAAAGAAATAAGCCCCTCAGCACATGCCCAGCACATAGTAATTCTCCAGAAAGTACGGCTGTGGAATTTCTCAGTATCCAAACTCTTTTCCATGAGAAGATTTAAAACTCACACAGTAGTATTATGGAGACTTTCTCTCATGTAGAGGATGTAAGATGTTCTAGATACACACACACACACGTATGCACACACACGCACACACACATTCGACTAGAAAGTATGCACATGATATATACTAGATACTATATATTATGAATATGTACTATAAATACTAAATAATGCACACATTCTACATAATGTGCTATATAATATACAGTAGAGTTGATAGTTTCATATATATATATGCTTTGTAGATGTAGCTGCTATATAGATGTAGATTGTATAGATGTAAATTTTATACAGAGAGTCAGATAGTATACAGGGAGGGGACAGACATGATATGCTATAGGGTGCAGGAAAGTCCTCCCTGTTAAAGTGATATTTGAGTAGGGTCCTGAATGAAATGAGGGAGTAGGCCATGTGGATATCTAGGAGCAGGGCTTTCTAGGTAACAGGTACAGCAAGTACAAAGGCCCTGAGGTGAGATCAATCGCAATATATTTGAGAGTTGAACAGTCATCCATGTGCAGGAGTAGAGTGAGCAAAGTAGGCCAAGGGAGGAACACCAGACAAAGTCAAATGTCAGGAGGTAGGGCCTGGCAAAGAGTTTGGGTTTTATCCTAAATGTGATGGAAAAGCCAATCAAGCATTTTCAACTGAGAGGTAACATGATTAGACTGACTCCCTTAAAGGATCATTGAAGCTAGTGTAGGAAGGGTAGATTATGAGGAGGCAAGGGAGGGAGCAGGGAAGAATGGCTAAGAGCCTACTGTACTTGCCTAGGCTGGGGATGATGCGGCCCTGAACCTGGGCAGTGGTGGGTGGATGTGGGCCCCACTTTGGAGGTAGAGCAGACAGAAGCAGCAGAGGCAGTTGGAGGACTGGGTGGCAGGGCGTGGGAGAGGGAGGAAGGGAGAGAGGAGCCGTGGTGACGGCTGGCTCTTTGGCGAGCACCCTGGGAGGAGGATGGAGCCACTCACCGAACAGTAAAGACACAAGAGAAATATTTGGGGTGGAGGGGGTGGCGGCCAGTAGCAAAATGTAAAATATTCTGAAACTGGGTCACACTTTAAACCATGTCAGTCATTAAAAAAATCATAGATTAAAAAAAAAAGTAAGCCATATCAGTCATTTACACCTCTATGGAACTAATAACATTTCCTATTAATTGTGGCTTTTCAGCTCACAAGGAACTTTTATTTTTACTATATTATAAATGGCATATTATATAGTAAATAGTACATATAGTGAGTATGGTATATTATATAGATAAAAGTTGCTTAAATACAGCATACATTACTGTATTTGTATGTAAGCAATTTAAGGCTGCTTAAATATAGCATACCTTATTATATAAAGTGCATATATTACATAATATATACTATTATAATAGTATAGTATCTATATTATATAAATCTATGTAATATATAGTATATTATATATTATACTAGCAATATATTATGCTCAATATAGCATATAGTATCTCTATTATAGTATGTATTATAACGTGTAATATATAATATATATTATATACCACATTATATATAGTATATATTATAACCTATAATATATAGCATGTATGATATATGTGCTATTCATGTTACATAGTATATATGATAAATAGAGCACATATCATATAAACTAGTGCTTATATGTTATAGTATATATTATATACACTATGTAATATATAATATGCAGTAAGCTATGGTATATTCTATATACATGTTGGATACTATATGTCATGTAATATATATCTAGTAAATAGTATGTATATTCTATATAATATGCTATATAGAATATAGTGTAGTTGAGTTTCTTATATATTTATGTATTAAACAGTGCATATAAAATATATAAAATATATATTACATAGTATTTATACATATAGTACATTATGTATAGGTCATTATTTACTATCTCTTTAGGCCTTTAAAGCCTCCAACCTTCCCCCTAATTTCTCTCCCCCACCAAACAGGGAGAAAACAAAGCATCTCCCTCTCTTAGAGGGAGAAATGACTTTCCTAAAGTCCCAGAGGTGTAGGATGAGAAGCTGGAGCCCATAGAAGTCCACTTTCCCTATACTCCTGTGTGAGCTTCAGACCTTTCCACAAGAAAAGCTTTGACGGTAAGAACTTTTTGCCCCTATTTATTGAAAGTAAATATGCTCCAGATAGTATGCCAGAACTCCTAAATTGTATCTCATTTAACCCTCCCACTGAAACTACCTCCGAGGATATATTCTGTCATGGTTATCTTTGCACAGATGAGAACATTGAGGTTCTGACAGATTGGGGACCTTGCCCGAGGTCACAAGGTTGATGGGGAATCCCCCCCCCCCCCCCGAGCTCTTCACTCACCACAAGGAGGTAACTGGATAGAAAGTCCAAAAGCCAGTTACATTGTTCAGCTGCAGGAATCGGGATGTAGCTTCTGCTAAGCCTGTGGAAAGAAATGTACAATTTTCATGTGACTTTTCTTTTCTGAACTATCTCATCTGTAGTGAGAGAGATCTCCATTTTGGGCTTCAGTGCATTGATTATGCTGCACAGTTAAACCCCCTTCATGGGGGGGGCGGGGATGAAAAGCACTAAAACGGAGTCTGACAAAGAAATGACTAGCACGCAGTCAGCAAAGAGGGAGCTGAAGCCCTCAAAGGTGGAAATTACATAAACAGCAGCCTAGATTCCTCAAATGTGGATTTCTCCTATCCCCGTTCTTCAAAAGCTCCAGATGCTTGAAGGAAAATACCTCTAAGTAGACATTTGTTACTTATTTTTCTCTCGTTGCCTGTGCAAACATCCTCCTAAGCTGCACATTTCTCTTATCTTTTTCCTCTCTTCTCTATCACACCAGTTGCCTGGAGCCCATATTTCTCCATTTTTTCATCTCTCAAAATTGCACAAAGCTTCTCAAAGCATTGGTCTGTCAAAACTCATGTGTAGTCTGAGATTCTAGCTAGAATTAGGAGGAAGATAAGAAGGAGAGGAGGCAGAGGGGAAAAAGAGCCTGAGTCTTGCCCACAAAGCTCAGGAAAATAAGCATTTGCTCAGGTGGGTTAATAAAACATGTGGGTTGCATGAATTTTAAAAACAGGGAAATGTGGCTTTCTAGAAGAACATAGTGAGTCTCTTAGAATTGGTTCCAAAAGTTTTCCCGCACATAGGTGAATAGAAAGCTACCAGCTCTTAGGGGTAAAGGAGGCCAGGAGCCAACATTTATTGAGCATTTACTGTGTACCAGGGCACATTTCCCTAATCTCTATAGCAACCCTGAGTAAAGAATAGTATCATCTCTCTTTAAAGATTGGAAATATAAGGGTTTGTAAGCACTATAATACCAGGGATTTTGTCTGTCTTGTGTACCCACATCAGCAGCAGGATGCCTAGTGCATAGCAGGTGCTCTCAGTAAATATTTGGTGAATGAATGAATGAATGAATGAATGATCCAACACTGATAGAAATGTAGTGTGGAGCAATAATAAAGAACACAACATTGGAGTTGGAGAGTCCTAAGGCAGGATTAGATGCAATAATGCTGATTAGATGGGATTATAAAGTACTTGTAATCAAGCCCTCTATAAATGGTAGCTGTCTTTATTGTGGTATCATGACAATCAAGTCTACACTTGAATTAAATTAATGTTTGATGATGATGATGATGAAAAAGGAGGAGGGGAAAGAAGAGATCAGGATAGTCTCAGGAGTATCCGTGGGAAAAAAGATCCTGTCTTGAAATCTTGGAGAAGATCAGTCTCTGTAAGGGCTGCCACCTGTCTTGAACATTCAAGGGACCCAGAATTCAGGATTCTGATGCCTCCTTTCCCTACTCCAGCCAAGTTGAATTGGATGTGACTTTTATTCCTTCTGCTATCCATGTTGGGAATGACTTTTGAAGGTTTGCGTTTGGTCTCTTTTTTTGGGGGGGGTATTTTATTTTATTTTTTAAATATAATTTATTGTCAAATTGGCTTAAATACAACACCCAGTGCTCATCCCAACAAGTGCCCTCCTCAACGCCCATCATCCATTTTCCCCTCTCCCCCACCCCCTCCATCAACCCTCAGTTTGTTCTCTGTATTTAAGAGTCTCTTATGGTTTGCCTTCCTCCCTCTCTATTTGTAACTATTTTTCCCCTTCCCCTCCCCCATGGTTTTCAGTAAAGTTTCTCAAGATCCACATATGAGTGAAAACATGTATCTGTCTTTCTCTGACTGACTTATTTCGCTTAACATAATACCCTCCAGCTCCATCCATGTTGCTACAAATGGCATGATTTCATTCTTTCCCATTGCCAAGTAATATTTCATTATATATATAAACCACATCTTCTTTATCCATTCATCAGTTGATGGACATTTACGCTCTTTCCATATTTTGGCTATTTTTGAAAATGCTGTTATAAATATTGGGCTACATGTGCCCCTATGCATCAGCACTCCTGTATCCCTTGGGTAAATTCCTAGTAGTGGTATTGCTGGGTTGTAGGGTAGTTCTATTTTTAATTTTTTGAGGAACTTCCACACTGTTTTCCAGAGGGGCTGCACCAGTTTGCATTCCCACCAACAGTGTAAGAGGGTGCTCATTTCTCCACATCCTTGCCAGCATCTATTGTTTCCTGATTTGTTCATTTAAGCCACTCTGACCGGTGTGTGTCTTTAAGGGCATGCCACACAGAACATACCCAAAATGTCTGGATTGGATGTTTCTCCAATATAATGGTTCTTAACATGTGCTTCGCAAACCAACAGCATCAACACCATGTAGAAACTCATTAGAAATGTGAATTCTTAAAGCACTCTGGACCTCCTGAACAGGAAGCTCTGGGGGTGGGACCCAGCCATCCGTATTTCCACAAGTCCTCCAGGTGATCCTGATGCACGTGCATAGGTTTTCAGAAATGCTGCCCAAATGAAAGGCAATTAGGGTAGCCCAAAACTGTCCTCTCCATTTAGTGTGTGAGAGGTCTCTGATCTTCAAGGGAGAGGAGTAGGTGGAAGCAGGTTCACTGGAGGACAGGTGTCTTCTCTAGCAAATGGGAGGAACCAGAAAACTGTTGCTCAGTCAACCCTCAAATCCTGAGCATCTACTATGTTCCAGGAGCTGTTCTAAGTGCCTGGAAAACCATGATGAACAAGACGTATGATTCCAGCTCTCCAGGATTGAACGACGGGTGTGAAGGACCAGCAGTTCACACACATCTCACTGGCAAGGGTAGAAAATCTAACAAAACCAAATGCTGAAGAAACAGGAAGCCTCATGGCCGGCTGGTAAGAGTGTGCATTGGCACAACTACTCTGCAGAGCAGTTTGGTGAAATCTAGTTGAGCTGGAGATGGGTCAACTCTACAGCCTACCAGTTCCATTCTTGGATACATGAAGAAGCTCCACCAGTTTTCACGAGGAGACATGTTCAGGAATGTGCATAGCAGAACGGTTCAAGACAGAAGACATCTGAATGCCCACTTACAGGAGAACAGGTAAATAAATCATGAAACAGCTGTACAGTAGAATGTGATCCTAGCAAATAGTAGGAATAGCAGTAGTGAACTAAGTGAATAAATGGAATAAGTGAAACACACTTTTGATAAATTGAAAAAAATCATAATAGTGGGGAAAAAGCTAAATCATGAAATGATAGGTATGGCAGGATTCTATTTAAAGCTTTAAGATATGGAACACAACACTATATGTTGATAACAGATAATTCATACACAATGAAAAGTATAAAAACGTGCATGCAGGGGCACTTGGCTCGTTCAGTCAGTGGAGCCTGTAACTCTTGATCCCAAGGTCATGAGTTTGAGCCCAAGGTTGGGAGTGGAGATTTCTAAAAATAAGAAAATAAACTTTAAAAAAATATTTTAATGCACATGGAATAAAAAACTCAACCAGAAGATAAAGATCATCAGTGGGAAGGGACAGAGAGAAGAAGAGGCACAAGACTGAGACGGGGTCCAGCGGGCTGAGATTGTGTTTGTTACGCTACATTTCGTAAGCCGAGTGATGTGTAAATGGTTGTTCACTACATCAGCCCATAGGTTTTGTGTGTGTGTACCTGTAATAGTTCATAATGGAATAATTTTACATAAGCCACTGCATGTAGTTAATAAATAAGTATAAACGTGGAAAGCACCACTAAGAGATAACAGGCTGTCATAAGAGGAGACATAACAAATCCCTTTATTTCAACCTTGCCTTTTACTTGCCTTCTTGAAAGCCTTACTGTCAGCAGCAACCAGTCATAAATTATATTTCATTTCTGCTTGTCTATACTCTTCAATTTTCTGACCAAGGAAATAAACCATTTGGATTTTGAGATATGTAATTGATACTCTTGATGGGGGCAGTCAAAATTATTTGCAAAAGTTTCTTGAGCATTCCGAAGTTCTATATGTCTAACACATACTTATAAGTATAGATACATAAGATGGTGAGTAGGGAATTCTGGAAGGATCTACATGGAGAAGTCAGCAGCCCTTATTTCTGGTGGGAGTAATAGAAATTTGAATTTGCATCTTAAAGTGACTCCTCGTATTTTCATCAGCTCATCCCCTTCTTTTCTTTCTTCTGGAACAGAAATCCTCCTTAGGGAAACCTATTCCTTGTATCTCAGGGTAGCCTTGTTTCTACCTTCCCGGCCACTGGCTCACTAACCTGTCCAATCGGAGCACATCATTTGTAACCACAGGAATTGGCTGACTGGCTCAAGGATGCATGTGTGATACACGCCCAACCAATCACATCCCTCCCGGAGACTCTTCCTTCCCAGTAGTGTTGTTCAAATGATCGAAATTAGTCTGGGGTTAATCGTGTTTCCTTTTAGACCTCTCCTGCCTGGAGTAGGTCTACTGCAGAAATGAACAGGGTGAGAAAGATAGCATCCCACCAGTATTGTCTGAGCCCTGGATGTAGCCCTGCCCAGTTCATCCCTGGAACATCCTTGTCATAGACAACATTCTCTTGAATCACCTCCACCAGGTTGGGATTCATTTCTGATTCTTGAGGGTGAACAAGTTCTGACTTTTACCCTATTTGGTTCCCCTCTCTTTTCTACAATTTCCACAATTAGCATGCATCACATGTAGAACATGTTTCAGATTTGGAAAAAAATTAAAAAGGGGCGCCTGGGTGGCTTAGTCGGTTAAGCGTCCGACTTTCGCTTAGGTCATGATCTCGCGGTTCGTGGGTTCGAGCCCCACGTCGGGCTCTGTGCTGACTGCCAGCTCAGAGCCTGGAGCCTATTTCAAAGTCTGTATCTCCCTCTCTCTCTGACCCTCCCCTGCTCACACTGTCTCTCTGTCTCTGTCTCTCTCTCTCCTAGAAATAAATAAAAATATTTAAAAAAAAAAAAAAGGAGGAAGGAAGTAAACGGCATACCAGTGTTTATCTGCAGAGGGCTGCCTCTCAGACTCTTTCCCTCTAAGGGGTAGGTGGAGCCCA